TACTATGAGATTATATATATTAGTATATATATATAAATAGTATATACCTATATATTATCTATACTCTATATATATCAATAACTCATAATAATTTAGTTTTTAACGACAACTTCTGAAAAGAGCTGTAAATAATGAATTCTTATATTGTTATATTATAGGCATTTGATTTAACCACAACAATGCAGCTGCTACGCCCAATTTCCACCAAAGAATTTAATTACAAAGTCGACGGACGAGTAGTTGTTGTAACGAAACCGTATTWTATTGTAGTATTTTATTTATATTTTTTCCAGAAGGCTTGTTTAATGAAAATAACGAGCACACTCTAATAAATTACCCGGCGAAAACGGTGAAATTTCCTCGGGATCCTTTCCCATAGTTTTTGTGCGAGATTTCTATCCGGTTCCGTAAACTCGATGAATATTCATGAGTATTCCTTTTCGGCCCTAGAGGCCCGGAGTATAGTTATTATTATTCCGACCATGAAGCCGCCATTGCTGTTTAGCTGTTTTTTTTTATTTTATTTAAATACGATATATAATTTTCTGCTTCGCTTGCTTACAAAGTTTTCTCGTGTTTTTCACCAAAACTGTCTAAAGTTGATAATAATGAAAACGTTTGAACTATACACTTTTAATGGAGTTTTCCAAATGCAGTTTACGTGCAATGAATTTGCTTCATATAATAATATGSGTGATATAATTATTTATATTATAATATAGTCTATACGAAATGCTTTGTCTGACGTTGTAGCAAACAACAAAAATTTGGATGACTTTTATTGTTTATACATAGCAAACAAATCGTGCTTTCGATAATTCAGCGCTGCTGTATCGCATGGTCAACAACTTTAAATTGTCATCCTTTAATTCAGCGCAAAACTACGCTGCTTATGTGATATATGGCGTTTTTTAATTCATCACAGCCTATAGTGAACCTTACAGCKGTTTCAGCCGGTTAGAGACATGCTGCAGGTTAGATGCATCATATTGATAATTACTAATTAATGATAATACTATAGTAATTATTGTGTGCATGAAATTATAATCAAATATCAATGGTAGGTAATACTTTGATAGCGAAATATTTAAAATTTGTGTTTCAGTTTTCATCACAATCATATTCATCATATTTTCTACATAGGTACGTTCAGCAGCGCTAAATTATATCGAAGGCACGGAAAGTTAATCGTAATCATCTATATAATACATTTATTGCTGTACTTCATACGTATTTACGAGTTTATTTTAGATTTGAATTGAATAGAYAGTTATTGGTCTGACACCTATTATTGGTGTCGTGATCCGTTATATGATATTATGTTTCTTAAAAAAATATCTGATTATAATATGTAGTAATGATTGAACAATTACCGAAAATACTAAGATGTCTGGGTAATACCAGTAATCGGTATCAACTTTTTAAATACTGCGAGACCAGTCATATTTAATCTGTACTTGTATATTATTCATTGATGTTATACGACTGTTAATAGTTATAGATGATGCTGTATACGAAAAATATAATAAGATGGTAACTATATGTATATTATACATTAATACATTTATATACATTACGCCTATTATATATATATATATATATCATTATTATTATTTAAACGTTTTAGGAATATCTACATAATTTCGTTCATATTTTATAGCCCCCCCAAAATATATATATAATATGTAAAAAATAAATAATTAAAAGACGAAATTGTCATCATCATTGGGTGGCCTCTTATTCAATCAATTTTTTCACTTTATTATTTTAACTTAGCTGCAGATACTCTTTATTTTAGATAAACATTATGTTGTAACGATTGTTTTTGTAATAATAAGTGTCTTATTACATTAAATGACCGCTCGGTATTTAAGTACCTACTTTATACTTATATATATTATATACAATCATATTGATGAAGTATATAATATATGCATAATATAGTATTATATTGGATAATAAACTCGTACAATATAACAGACTATAATATAATACATGTATATTGTRTATACATTGTATAGACATCACGGCTTATAATCGGATTWGAATATACTTGCTTGCTTTGTGTTTGTATATAAGCATTCGTGGTTATAGTCCGTATACAAAATGTTATTATTATTAAACAATACATTATAATATCGCGAGTGCCAATATTATTAWTAATAATAATAATAATTTCAGCTATACATAATATGCATATTATATAATATACAATCGATCGCTAGGCGGTAAACGATTTTTCACTAATTCGGTAATACATAGCTATAGGGTATAGGCACATATGTAATATGCATATAATATGTATAGAGCTGATCGTAGTCACCGCGCTTATATAGTCGTTGTCATCGAATTTAAGTATACATAATAAGCTCGCGGGGTTATAATATATTATGTGTGCCATTATATTGAATATACGCGCTTTTGCTGCGGCTGCTCGATGACATTGACGCGCTCACCGCGGGACAAAAAGGGGTTTAAGTACGCAGYTCAATCGTCGGGTGCGCTAATATGCAGTGTATGACTTATACTTGTATATATATAAATATATATATTTATAAAACGCAAAACTCGCGTAACCAAATTATGCAGTCTCCCCCGAACTATGCCGGCGTGGTAAAAAAAAAAAAAAAGAAGAGAGTGAAAAAAGTGACCTTATACATGTTTTCCGTCACATATGGCCCGGTTCAAAGGCGCGGCGGTCTCTCCTTTCAAATTCAATATTGCCACAATGGATGGACACGGTTACACATATATTATTGTTGTCAGCCTGTCATTATGCCGCGTACATGTTATTATTATTTCGTGTGCGTGTATACATATACATGCACATGGGTAAGTATGCATTTAAATATATATTATATATACAACATATATGTGTGATTTTTGTTGTGTTCGGTGATGGGTGTGGTTTGTGTACACATACGGTATTAGAGTATATATATGGTATATAAATATATATAACAATAAGTATACGTCATATGTATGTATTATAGGTACGTTCATCGCTCGACATTAGCCGTTTAAGTTTACCCATTAACCGTTTGAGTGCTTGGAAAATATTTTAATTTATAAAACAAAAACCTCTACGATTTCGAGTCCGCGAATAAAAATCGCGGCATGATCCTATATGAGACTACCATAATATTATATAAGTATAATATGTACAATAATATTATACCTATATATGGGTACTTGATATTCATCTTGCAGGCCTGGACAACGATGAAAATTTCTGTATACAATAATCTACGAGGTTAGGTTTGTATTTATAGGTATATAAGTATATATATGGTCATGTAATAACATATAGTCGCTATAACCAATAATAAACTATAATAATAATACTTTGATTGTATAAAGGCTCTCTCCGAATATTAGGTATGTACATATTGACTTTGTCTGATAAGGGTTCAAGTTGGTCTTAGTTTTCAATATCTGTATTATAAAAAGCTAGCTATATAGATTTATCGTGGAGTTAACCGTGGTGTCGTATATATGTATGTTTAATAGGCTACATAAGTATTATAAATAACAATATTGTGTAATAAACTAATAACCTAATATTACCTATTATATTTACTCAATAATTTATTATCAATATATAATAATATACTGCAATACCCCATTCATCATCTATTCTACTCCATAGCTGGGAAAGATAACAAAAATTATATTTTTGGTGGAAACCCACACGTATATAATTTAAAGATGAAATTAAGATTTAATAAATCTATATATTTATACAGTGACCAGGAAAAATCGTAGAAGCACTAGAAGCTTAATCTCATAATCTTATACACTTTATAAATTGCAATCAAAGCATCGTAATATATCGATCGACACACTGCATGCTATCGTATATAGGTACCTATGTGAAATATGTCTATTATTGAATAATAAAATCTATAAATCGCAAACATTTTATGCCTGCTTATAATTTATAAAATTAGCTAGATATCAAGTTTTATAGTACGTTATTATTATATGCACAGATTCTTCACCTACCTATTGTTTTATTTATGATAATAAATAATAATTCGTATTTCGTATAGAATTTATAGATACATCACACATACACTCGCGTATATCTATTATATATATAGTGGAGATTTTCGTTCACTGCAATATTCGAACTACAATCTCAAAAAGGAACCTTATAAACGAGAATTTGTTTTTTTACCATATATAAGCACACACACTCAATATATATATATATATATTAACTATGTACAAAACTGTTATAATATCATATATATATATATATTTACTAAATCTGTCTCCCTCGAGTCCGTTTGCGAGCGTCCCTTTCGTTATATATATGTATAAATAATAATATATCGCCATCGAAACCCTGTCTCTCTGTTTCTCACACACTCTCTCTCTCTCTCTCTCTCTCTATCTTTTTATTCGCGTATACCTTTGACGCTAGTCCGAAATGTTGGTAGGTACCTATAATAATATAATATACATAATACGACCGGAACGGTAACTCGTAGGCGGTGCGCGGCGGCGGAGCAGTGCACGCAATGGGGCGGCGCCCGACGGGACCAATCGGAACGCCGACCGGGCGTCACGCCCAGAAACTATCGGTCGCGTCGCTGAATGTTTACCCGTGTTTTCTCCCCTCGACACGCACGGCAACGGCAACGGTAACGGTGAAGCGCGTGTGTGGCGGGAGGTAGGAGAAACGCGGAGAAACTACGCGTAGAGAATAAACCGCGCGCGAGACACACCGCTGCGGATAGAGAGTGAGTGAGACAGTGAAGGTAACGGTAACGGTGACGGATTGGTGACGAAAAGGAACGCAGAAATCGAAACACAGAAAACGTACATCGCGCGCGCACACACGCGCGTATATACGTGCGCGGGGGAATGAAAATAAAACAAATTTGTATATATTTACGCACGTACGCTCGGCAGCGGCCGCTCCGATGTTTGTGTATTTGTTGTTGTACCGCGGCGCGACCGGACGGTGGTGGGGAGAGCGGCGGCGCGTCGTAGGCGTACACCAATAATAATCGCGCGCGTATAGAGATACGTGTGTACCGCCGCGGACAACGCGTGTGCAGCGCTATCATTGTATATTCATTCGCGACCGTACCGCCGTCATGTGCAGCAGGGCCGCCATCACCACGTCCGCGGACGATCAACTGCAGCAGGGCTCGGAAGCCGGCGCCGATGCCGCAGCCGCCGACTCGTCGCAGCAAGCAAACCTCAACCGGTACCGGTTGCATCTCTACAATTACGCGCTGCAGGCCGAACGACTGCGGCTGTCAGGCGGATGGGGCGCCGTGTGCCCCGTTTATCCGGCAGCGGCCGCGGCCATCTACCAGCCTCGGTTTCCCGTGTCGCTGTTCCATCCCAACGGCGGCGGCGGAGTGGCCGGTGGACTGCAGACGGCCGACGAGCCCAAGCCTCAGCACAGCTACATCGGACTGATCGCCATGGCAATACTCGGGTCGGCCGAGGGCAAGCTCGTGCTGTCCGACATCTATCAGTATATACTGGACAATTATCCGTACTTCCGGACCCGGGGCCCTGGCTGGCGCAACTCGATCCGGCACAACCTGTCACTCAACGACTGTTTCGTCAAGGCCGGTCGATCGGCCAACGGCAAGGGCCACTACTGGGCCATACACCCGGCTAACGTGGACGACTTCAAGAAGGGCGATTTCAGACGACGGAAGGCCCAACGCAAGGTTCGCCGACACATGGGCCTGGCCGTGGACGACGACGGTAACGACTCTCCTAGTCCACCGCCACCTCCTCCGCCACCACCGCCGCCGCAGACTCATCTGCAGCAGCAGCACCACCATCACCTGCACCATCATGTGCAGCAGCATCATCACCAGCAGTCACAACATCTGCACCACCAGCAGCAGCAAAGGTCGCCGCCTGCTTTGTGGCAGTCGTCCGCGGCTGGTCACCCACATCACCCGTTTTACTTCCAACCGGTCGTACCGCAACCCACGGCTATTCTGCAGCAGCAGCAGTTGCAGCAACAATCCGCGGCGCTCTTGGTGCCGGCTAGGGCACAGAAACGGCAGTTCGACGTCGCGTCGCTACTGGCGCCAGACCCGCCGAAACGCATGTTGCAGCAGTTGCACCGGAACGATCCGATGGTGGCGTTGACCGCAACCACTGGCGCCGGGAGCAGCGACGACGATGACGAGACGGCGACGTGCGGCGGCCGGAACGGCGTCGGTGGCGTCTGGGAACCGGCGGGCCTGCTTCAACGTTACTACGAGCAGCAGCTGCAGGCTGCACACCGGCTGCACGCGTTCCGCCAGTCGTTGGGCCTACAGAGGATGATCGGAGGTGGCCCGTGGCCCACTTTCATCGTTCAGGACCGTAACCAGACGCCCACGCCGCCGTCGCTGCAGCCGTACGCGGAGGACACCACACCGATGACCGACGACGCCGTCTGCAAAACCGAACTAGTCGACTGAGGTAAACGCTATCCGCCGTTTTCCGATTTTTCTATTTTAATAATAATATAATATATTATATATTGTATACCTACCTATTAGATATAGGTATACTTACTCCTTCGTTTCGTTTYGGACTTGCCTGCGTAGACGTCATCGCCTGACGATTTACAATTTCCATGTAATATATATATTATATAAAGTCAAACTGTAAATTTTTCGTAAAACAAACCAAATTAGTTCGTCCAAAAGGCATAAATTATAAAGATGATAATTTAAAATTTGAGAGGTTGCTAATCATCCAACACTCCTCCAAAATCTCGCCTATTATCAACGGCGATTAGTTCGAAATTTCCTTCCATTTTTGCGTACRGTACACGATAATTTATATATAATATTATATTGTGTATATTATGAAAAGTATAGGTCGTCACTGAATCAAATCATATTCACGGTGATCATCCTATTACTTGATTTCGGTTTTTTTCCCAGTGATATAATGATACGTATAGTACCTATTATTATAATATAATATTATGTATAGGTACATTTATATAAAATATGTAGCATACATACAAAGTAGGTACTATATAATTTAATATCGTGATGATGTGTATTATCAGTCGAGTGGTGGTCGTTTGGGCGAGTGTAATAATATAATTTTGACCATATTAATGAATATTCCGATTTGGATAGTATCATATTTTATACTATTTGGGAGGGTGAAATTAATTCTACCTTTCGTCTGCGATATGCCAATATGCATCTATAATGGTAAATGTTGTTTTATTTCAAATCACTAAATTATAACAGTATACTATATAGTACTCTCTATTATATGTTAYGTCATATTGCTATATCATTATAATATCCTTTTGAAACTATATAGAGATATATAGTCCATTGTTAATGATATATGTTTATGTCGTATGTGCTTTAATTTTATTTATTTCAATTGGAACTGTACATTACTTTATGTGGCGTATAAATYAATTTACCKATAAACCTATATTCTTATATATTCGCCCAAACGGTCTACGGCTATATATACTGTATAGGTGGTATGTATAAGAAAATAACTGCGATGCGCAGAAATATAATATATATATATAATTGCTGTCCGACTATTATAATTTATAACTATATATATAGTATATATTATGTTTAACCCTGTTTGGAAAAGTTATTATTTATGTTGTGTTATACGATGTTTAGATTATCGATAATATAGAGAAATGTTTTTAAATCGCAATAAATTAGGTAAACATATTTTTTCTTGTTCTTGTAAATCATGTATAAAGTTATATTATAATATTGTGAAAAACGAATCAAACATCATCTGTAAAATTGATCGATAGATATACGTATATATTAAATTATATCTACCTATATTCCGGTGTTTAAAATTGATTATTATTATTATTATTATTTATTGATGAAACAACACGAAATTACTGTTAAAACGTTAATAAATATTATTATGTTTTGTATATAAATTTATTAAATATTATTAAAGTCCAGTCCTGTTACTGTAACTATAACTACTTATATATACTGTATCATATTATATTAATATTATATGAATTTACTGTTGGTAGCTTTCAATCCGTGCCTACCTATATACATGTATGCGTGTGTGTGTGAAAGTGTGTGAAAATTCACATGTCGCGTAGTCATCCATGGCGCCCGCGAGTCGTTTTAAAACCGCAATATAAGTGCGATCAAAATCGTGTTATGTATATATATATATATATATATATATATATGTATGGGTGTAGCTTATATTTCTACTTCGTCTGTGACAGAAAAGTGGAACCCGGTCGACAATGGTCATGAATTAAATTTCCAAATGATATGCCGACACAAAACAATAATATTATTATATTATTTTGGAGGTAACTYATCGTCTATACTATAGCTACTGCAGTATATAATTTTGTACCTAATCAATTTCACTTGTGTGCCTATTATATATGTATTTGAGCGGTTTTCGGGAACCGTCAAAAATAATAATTATTATTTGTACTACAATAATATTGTTATATCGACGAGTGGATTTTCTCGGCCGCTGCGCAGTGCARGGCAATATAATAGGTAATAAATCAGTATAATTACTAAAAATATAAAAAAATTATGTACAAACAATGATCGCCTACAATATGAACGTCATCGATCATCTATATCTATATATAAGTTCAAGTGGTGTGAATATAATTAGAAATATCTATATTCTACTGGAATAATAATTATTTATATTTATTTGTTTTCGAAAAAATTCGCAAATCAATAAACTTATACCTACTTTACAGTTAACATATGCGGTGCAGGTCATTAAATTATTATAAACATTCCCCAGGTATCTATAGATTTAATTTACCAGCTATGTTCTATGATTTTGTTCCACTATTCAATGTAATGTACAAAATTGTGTTTAATTATTTATTAAATTACGTGAGTAATCATTTATGTGCAGTCAACATATATTATTTTATAATCTGTATAAGCTATATTATATGAGTCGGCGTCTAATGTGASTGTGCTGTAATAAAATCATTTTTTATTTGCTGATGTATACCTATTATATAGACAATAGACGTATAGAAGTTGTCTATAATACATATATTGTGTATGCGCAGGGAAGCAACGAAGGTACTTACCTACTTAATTTATTTTGTTACGATTTCATTTCATATTCTTACAATCGGCTTATTTTTTGATAAATAAATCTTGTAAAAAATATAAATTTTTCGATTTTTGGTCTWGCATTCTATATTCAATTTTGAGATAAGTTGTTCATGTTAATGCTACAAAATATTTTATACCCCAGTATAACTTATAAGTATATAATATAATTGATAAAATATAATTAAATCTTGACAAATATCTATTTTGCAGTAATCATTAAATGATTGATGTAGGCCATACAGTTGATTTTCGAAACTAACTTATTATAGGTAAAATATATACACAGCAAGCATTCACACAAACTGTTGTGTTAAAAACATTATTATTTTTTATTTATATAAATATATATATATATAATTATTTGCTATAATATTTTTTGTATTCTTTTATAGTTATACCTATGTTATTATGTTGACGCAGACGGATTTCAAAAAAATGTTCCAAGCAAGCAAAGCAATAATATTATCTTATAATTTGAAAACATCAATATATTTTCATAAGTTTCACAATACAACATTTCAATATGCTCTAAGTTATTTATTATATTTTTTTCCCGTACAAAATATAATATAAATGTGATGATAGYCAACTTTTAGATTGCCGAGTGTTGAAATAAAATGATAACAATAACGTATTATTATGTCTCAAAACAACCGTTAAAAGTACAARCCCCTCGTGCATACTWAATCATATATATTTATACTGCATAATACGAATATAATGTTCTTATAAATAAATGTATAATTGTCGCAGARATCAATCGAAACGTAACATCAAAAAAATAATRACATCGCACGCAATCATCATGTATATATAGCATTAAAGCAAACAATGCAAATTATTAGATGTGTCGGTGCTTATTATTTATATTATTGGTATATATTGTTCAGTCGTTGTTCACWTTGCGATGATGTGAAAGTGAAATACGTATATGACACATRTATTTATTATATACCTACACTGCAGTATACATAATGCATGTTTCTCATTGTATATAAAATGTTCATGATAAATTGTCTTTCATGAAGTTTATGGATAGGTAATATTTATATATTTTAATAGTATTTACACATAATATATTATAAACGTATTGTGCGTTACACAACTCTAGCACTAAAATATTAAATGCAAAATATCGTTTGCCCAATATTATTATAGGTACCTATGTATATATTATATATATATTTATAAGTATAGTTGATTATGTGTACCTGTAATACCGGCTGTATCTATTTATGTACCTAAATTTACTATCAGGAGTGTTTGCCGTGGCTAATTTTGAATAATATACTATATATACGTTTTTTTGTAAAGAATGACTATATAGATACATATATTTTGTATACACAATAATGTGATAATATTCGAGTTGCAGTAGGTATACATACCTAACTCCCGCGTAACATCCGCACACGTAATCKCCGTTACATAATAATAATATATGCCGGCGACTTTTTTATACTATTAATTTTTATAAAAACAAATAAATCGAGCTTAAAAATACTAATTTGAATATATATATACATATAATATATATACAACTTACATTATTACAATAATA